TATAACGGGTCCGTACAACTGAGAACTCTCAGTCACCACGGTGTCGGGGTCACACGTCCTAGGTACTGTAACTATAACAGACTACACATAAAATATAACGGGTCCGTACAACTGAGAACTCTCAGTCCACACGGTGTCATGGTCACACCTCCTTGGTAATTATACAAGACTACATATAAAATATAACGGGTCCGTACATATAATAGACTGCATATACAATATAACTAGTCCGTACAACTGTGAACTCTCAGTTCCCGCGGAGTCATGGTTACCCATCCTAGGTAACTACAACCGACTACATAAAACATATAACGAGTCCGTACAACCTAGAGCTATCAGTCCCCACGGTGTCAGGGTCACACATCCTAGGTAACTATAACAAACTACATATACAATAAAACAGGTCCGTACAGCTGAGAACTCTCAGTCGCCACGCTGTCAGGGTCACAACTCCTAGGTAACTATAATTGACTACATATAAAATATAACAGGTCCGTACAACTGAGAACTCTCAGTCGCCACGCTGTCAGGATCACACCTCCTAGGTAACTATAACAGACTACATATAAAATATAACAGGTCCGTACAACTGAGAGCTCTCAGTCCGCACGGTGTCAGGGTCACACCTCCTAGGTAACTTTAACAGACTACATATAGAATATAACGTGTCTGTACAACTAAGAACTCTCAGTCCCAACGGTGTCATGGTCACACATTCTAGGTAACTATAACAGACTACATATAAAATATAACGGGGCCGTAAAACTAAGAACTCTCATTCCCCACGGTGTCAGGGTCACACATCCTAAATAACTATAACAGACTACATAAAAAATATAACGGGTCCGTACAACTGAGAACTCTCAGTCCCCACGGTGTCAGGGTCACACATCCTAGGTAACTTTTACTAACTACATATAAAATATAACGAGTCCATACAACACAGACCTCTCAGTCCCCACGGTATCAGGTACACACATCCTAGGTATATATAACAGACTACATATACAATATATCTAGTCCGTACAACTGTGAACTCTCAGTCCCCACGGTATCAGGTTAACACATCCTAGGTATATATAACAGACATATTCGCTCCGTGTAAGATAGTGAGGCACAAACACAATTTTTATCTGGTGACAAAATGACATAAAAAGGCAAGGTCAACTGGTAAAACGGGTGACACGCCAAGGAAACAGCAAACAAGATGGTTGGGTTTTCTTTAATCATGATTGTTTTACTGTCAACAAAGTTGATACAGGCGACACCTCCCGGTAACAGGGACGACTTCCAGGACCAAGAGATAACCGAAATAAAGAAAGATGATGATGTTACAGTCGGAGTTAATCAAGTCACAGGCAGAGATGTTACAGGAGTATGGAAAACGAATAGGTATCTAAATTTACCTCAGCTATGATCACAAGTTGTAAAAAATTAATTACATTTACAAATATTCAAAGAAAGAAATATTTTTGGATTTAGAACAAGTTAAACACATTAAAAATAACATATTTTTGTTTCCTCTCCCCCTTGATTCATCATTTTTTTTTAATTTATTTTAACCCGGAAATATTGTTTGAATACTACAACGGTTTGGGGCCTGTATTAAATATCCTTACAAAAAATGCCCTCACACGGAAGTGTTCTCATTCATTTATTTACATTTTTAAAATTAAGCTAACAATCACTACACTTTGGGTTAAACAAATTGTTTGCCCATGTACAACGAATATCATGTTGTGCTTACACAGTTGTTTTTAGTAAAACATTTTATTTCTTATGAAGCTGAATTACACAAGGATATCAGAAAAGAAATAAGATATATATATCAGAAAATACCACAGTCTCCTCTTCTCCTGGTGGACATCTTGCCATTTCACTACAGTACGACAAGAATAGGCAATAAGCAATCCATAGAGCAAGCACGATTACAATATTTTAAAGATAAAGCGTAGATAATCATTACTTTTTCTTAATATTAACGTCCCAACGTTCTCCTTTTAATTTTTCTGATACAGTTGTAAAATGGCTATATAATTGTGTGGTAAATACATTGATTTTATGTTGGGTTTTTCCTATTGTGCTCACAATGATACATTCTTTTTATTATTTTACTTGACAGCTTCACTGGAAAAAGAAAACTATGACCTTGTCAAACGCACAGAGAAATTGCAAACCACTAATGACGTAATGGAATCTAGACTAAGCTATCTGGAGCAAGTGGACTTGGACACCCGCCCTGAGGAGGATGTACACGTCACTACCGGGCAATCGACAGAAGAGATCGAAGATCAGGAGAACGGTCAACTTCAGTCACAAGGACATCAAGGTGAAGCTGTTCGCCAAGGTAGATACTCAAACGAGTATAGCTTTAACTGAAAGGATATCGTTATGTAATGATTAATTAATATAAAAAGGTTTTGTATCTAAATTCTTTGAATTGATGAATTGAAAGTTAAGTCGTAATACTCAATTTCTACATAAAACGTTACATTCCTAGATTGTTCATCAAGCAAAATATAAAATTTACTAAGTAAATTCGATTAACTATGTACTTGTGTACATTTACAGCTGACGGCAAACTACCGCGGATACGGAGAGTACGTCAAGCTACCGGAAGTAAGTGTTTTTAGTTTTGCTTCATTATTTGCTTTATTAGTACTAATTTATTAGTTAAGGTGGCAATTCCAAAACATTTGAGGTTCGGTTTATGTTTAGTGGTCCTATAATCAAAGTTTAGGTCAAGTGACCTAGTAATGAAATTTATGTTTTAAAATAAAACTGTGTTATTTTCACTTCTACTATCAATACTAATTTTCAGTTTGTTAAAATTCTTTGTTGAAAGAGTAGATACTTAACTACATTATGCTAATTTTAATGAAGAAGATTCACAATGTCCACGACTGGAAGAAAAAATTACATGTCAGAATGTTTCGTGTGTCTTACGTTTTTCGGTATATGTATCAGACTGAAACTGATAACTATATTTCAGATACTCTGACTGCTGTTGGATTTTACTGTAGACTTCAGTCCCCGCACCATTTGCTACTTGGACAACATCAGACTATTGACTTTGACGACGTTGTAACGAACGTCGAGAACGGATACGACTCCCGACACGGACACTTCACGGCTCCTGTCGCTGGGCTGTACTCATTCACCTCTAACGTTCTACTAACGTCTCATAGTCGTTTAATGTATCTCGTCATTGTTAAAAACGGAGTTATTGTTGGACACTTGTATTCAAATTCCGGGTATGATCACGGTTCCAGGACGGTTGTGCTACTATTAGCTATAGGAGATATGGTGCGGGTTAGAAACAACAACAACAACAACAACAACTCGCCCTCCATCCGGGGTGGTGGTTTTAGCACCTTCTCTGGATTTCTCATTACACCATACAGCTAGGGCAGCTAGATGTTACGTATTTGAGTTGCTTCATTCTGTTCCAACCAATTACGAATATACTAAATAAAAGCTCTTAAAATTGAACAAAATGTGTCCTGACTTTTTTTTTGTATTCATTAAAATCAGCCAGTGATGAATCATGAACTACTCCGTAAAGACATTTGTCATCTATAGTTGAGGTATTACTTATTGTTTACTACGGTTGTGATTCGAAGCCCTTTTTCTATTTTGTAAATATTTTGATATCATTACTAACAATTATAACTATAGCATTATCTCACTTACTGATTTTCATTTTTATCCATCAGAACAAACTGTCAGCGTATTAAAACCGCTCATACAGCTCCGGAACAATGTCAACTTGTAACAAGGACATGAAGACATTCGATAATATAGATACATGGTCACTGTTCTGATATCACCTCAGCCAAATAAATGCTGCAATGAAGCTACCTGTATAACGTAACTGCGGTCGTTCTAGTAGGTAATTTACTGATCCGGTTACTATAACAGACTAAATATAATATAAAATAAGTTCATACAACTGAGATATATCAGTCCCAACGGTGGCAGGGCTACACATCCTAGGTAACTATAACAGACTACATATAAAATATAACGAATCTCTACAACTGAGAACTCTCAGTACTCCCTGTGTCATGGCCACACATCCTAGGTAACTATAACAGACTATATATATATAATATAACTAGACCGTACAACTGTGAACTATCAGACCCCACGGTGTCAAGGTCACACATCCTAGGTAACTATAACAGACTACATATCAAATATAACTAGTCCATACAACTGAGAACTCTCTGTCCCTACGGTGTCAGGGCCACACCTCCTAGGTAACTATGACAGACTACATACGAAATATAACAAGTCCATACAACTGAGAGCTCTCAGACCCCACGGTGTCATGGTCACGCATCCTAGGTATATATAACAGACTACATACAAAATATAACTAGTCTGTACAACTAAGAACTCTCAGTCCCCTTGGTGTCATGGTCACGCATCCTAGATAACTATAACAGACTACATATAAAATAATACGTTTCCGTACAGATGATAACTCTCAGTCCCCACGCTGTCAGGGTCACATATCCTAGATAACTATAACAGACTACATATAAAATAA